ATATATGATAATACCAAAATATCAAGTTGGCTCAATAGTCTTTATGTTGATCCTTACGGGGAGTGATACTATTTCACCAATCGAGTCACATGTATCTAACATATATATATATATGTGTGTGTGTGTGTGTGTGTGTGTGTGTGCGCGCCCACCCCTAATAGGTGTATAGTCTTATACACTCTTAAATTAACTCGCTCATTCCACAATTCATTTACTAGTATCAACTTGAAAATCTTGAGATAGATATAATTGATATTGTACTAGAATCATGTGAATTCCATCGTGTACGAGTGGAAGATTTCAATGTAAAACGGGTCATCCATGTAGGCTGATCCGACCCGAATTGAATGGGAATAGTTTGGAGTGAAAAGTTAAGGAGTTGATGTTTAAATTTAAAACTTAACCTCCCACAACCTACAACTCCCATATAACTCCTAATCATCCAAAATCATAAGATAAGGAATGCACATTCGTTGAATATAAAAGGCAGTGATAATACATGAGTGTGATGATTTGAATATGCAAGATTCATATTTTAAAGTTGGTTCTTGGATTGTGGATAACAAACTCCTTCCATTGTAAGCGAGTTTCCGGACAAAAGGGCAGTAAGCAAGCAGTAAGGAAGCACCAAAGGAAAGTAATTCAACCTCTTGTTTCTTGGGAATTCAAATAAGTTCTAAGACCCCAATTCTATATTTCATGAACTTGATATAAAGATTCGTTGGATAATTTGATTGATTTACATGCATTAATTTTCTTCCGCAATTAGTGGCCAATGATTGTGTGAGTATTGATGACTTGTTTCTTACATTCGAGAGAAGTGGAATAGGTTCGATAAAGTATAAATTAACATAGGGTCCGATAGGGGATAGAGATATACCTCTATGCTTTATGTAATTCTTAAATTGTTCACAAAAGTACATGCATTCTTGTATGTTTGCATCATCCATAGAGATATAGGCTGGTGGTGTGCAATAATAGGTCTAATATATATCGAAAGAGTATATTGGATAGAATTAGGAACATTGAATTGGCAAATTTCCATCGAGTTATTAATTTTATGAAATTAGGGTTTTCATAACTTCAATTGGGGATTCGTGATCCTAGTGGCTTTAGTTTGATTCATTTCCATAAATTAGCTTTTGAAATTGCATAATTTCCTTTACTTGAGTGTTTGAGTCGTTTAATTAGAGAAATTTTGAAATTAGGGTTTCTAATTGAGAAATTAGGGTTTTCAATAGAAATTAGGGTTTTTATTTGAAATTAGGATTTTTAATTGAAATTAGGGCTTTTTGCATTTAGACCATATTTTCACTCAATTAGATTCGGTTAAGGCTCGACTATATAGAATTGAACTACTCAATCTCTGAGGGACGATATTCAGACTTTTAAAAATCTACTTTATTACTTGTTACTAACCGTACACTTGTGATAATTTTAAATCGAAAGAATTATTTCGTGAACAATGCCCAACTTACCATCCGTCCCCGATGATGCACTCTTTCGTTGAAACCCATGTGGGATATGCATTGTTAACGTCTTCAATTATGTTTTCCCGCACAACCCCCAAGAATGGCCTGTTGGTGAGTTCAAGGCCAATTGCCAGTTCCTCGAATTGATTCTGATCAAATATTGTATAACTCCCAAATGCAACATAAATGACAGAATTAGGGGGTTGTTGATCAAGCCATGCCAGACAACCTGTTGAAGAAAAATTTCAAATAACAAATCCGTCGCCTTTTAGATAGGGAGGGTCTTAAATACAAGGCTCACTGTCAGTTAATTATATAAAAATTACGCAACTTTCACTCATTTGATAAATAAATGAACATATACTTTTTGACGAGATAATTCGACATGACCTGAGTCCTCTTTCCAGAAGTTTCCTACTGATTTTCCAAGCCGATTACATGCCAAAAGAGGGCCTATAGGTATAAAGTCTGGAAATGAGGCAAATGTCCCATACTCCAACCAGTTAGATGAGTTGCAAATCATCCTATCTGCTGATTTCACCCACTTTAAAATTTGTACCCCAAGTTTGAAAACGATTTTTGCTGTAAGTTCACCGATAATGCAGTTCCAACTGAGTTCCGCGGTGTTTATGGCAGGCATATCTGGTGAAAACTAAATTATCTTGTTTTGCATTGGCATTCCTGCATAAAAGAAAAAGTTCAACAGTAGTATTATTATAAGAATGTGTTAAAAAACTGGTTCTTCCCCGAACTTCCATGCTTGCTATATTAGTCTCCTAATTTTATACAAGTCACTGCAAAGCAGATTGTCAACTTTGTATAGTCACCCAACCCTCGTATTACTCTCTGAAAACATGATCACTGAGCTTTAAAATGTCAAAAATTAGTCCCTGAAATGGATTCTGCGAGTCCGATCAATGGATTATTGAGTTGGCAAACCGCACCCGGCACCTCTACTGAGCCCCACCCCTTCTCCCTTTCTTCCTCCATTGCTGCCCTACTAGGGGAGCTCTTAAGAAGTATCCGCTTTTTCATAGGGTCGTTAATTGTTCTTTAATGGGAGCAAGTCAAATCTAATTTCTATTTGTGGGACTATAACATAAACAAGTTCTAAAATCTCCTATCTTTAATGGAAGCAAGTCAAATCTAATTTCTATTTGTGGGACTATAACATAAACAAGTTCTAAAATCTCCTATCTTTAATGGAAGCAAGTCAAATCTAATTTCTATTTGTGGGACTATAACATAAACAAGTTCTAAAATCTCCTATTCTAAGGAGGAGAATTACTATAGTTATTCTTGTCTAAGGACACAAGTAACTAGAAGAGTAAATGAAAATAAAAAGAAAATTGACTATCTTTCGTCCGAAAATCTTCAAAAATTTACACTGCCATCTGCTCCTGTTGTCACTGATCAATGTTATTCAATATATACACTTTAAACTGTACTCACCATCACTGTCTATAATTCTATCATCAATAAGGTTTGGAACTTTAAACAGCAGCGCAAATTGAGTGGCTGCTGCCGGCCAGAAAGCTACTTTCTTGATACCCATTTTGTCTGCAACTTCCAGAGCCCCTCCCATGGTGACATCGGCAATTAAACAGGAGATTCTATCACTTTCTGAATTATTCATTTGTGCAATAAGTGCCATGAGCTCACCCGGCATGACAGCAGAAACTGATTCTATCTCTTTTCCGAGATCACTTCTGTCGTCAGGTGATTCTAATCCATCTGGGATTGAAACCATTTGTATGATTTCTTGTATATTGTCTGTCAACGATAATGCTTTGATAACTCGTTCATGAATGAACTGAGCGTTGACGAATGTAACCTTGCAGCCATAGTTTACTAAATGGAGCGCAAGTTCCATAAGGGGAATCACGTGGCCCTGCGCCGGATATGGTATAAGCATAACATGAACGCGTTTCATTGTTTTTCTTTGATTGGTGATGAGAGAAGTGATTGTTTCTGCTAGCCGTAGTGTCTATGGTGATAAGCGTATGGGAGATCAGCTCGAATTTGATATTTGTACAGAATGTATGCGGTGAGGAAATTTTTAAACCTTTTTTTTTTTTTTTTTTTTTTTTTCAAGCCAATAAAACAGGCAAATTGTTCTTAACTATGTATATAAAGGAATATGCTGAACATATATTCTATTTTTCGTGCAGAACAAGGAGCCAGCCTTAGGTGACCAATGTGATATGCATAATTAAAGGTAGAATTATGTAATTTATTTAATTGTACATCTCATTTAATGTCAAATAGTGTCATTTAAATTAATGTAGTATCAAAAGTAGTGCTAAATAGCATTACTTAGATGCATGTCATTTAGATTAGAAACAAGGAACATGAATTGGAACTTGGAAGAAAATAATGAAATGTAAATTTTTTTGGCCACTTATTTTATTTTGTTTCAATTTAATTATTGTCATTAATTGATTAATTTTAGTTTAATTTAATTGATGGATAACATATCAATTATTTAGTTTTGCCAAGTACGGTGCTTAGAAAATAAAAATTATATATATATATATATTTGAGGATTATAAGTCATGTGATTATTCTTAAGGTTATGTTGGCTGATGATTAGAAATTCGAAGTTAAGGATGTACTTTGAAATGAAGATGTTTGATGGTGTGGTATGAGAATTTGCCGTGGTCATGCAATCCCAAGATTGAAGTGAAGTTTGATATGGTTGGGAGCATTGGACACATCGATAAGATGATTGTGAATAAAATTTTTGAGCCAATAAGAAGAGAAAAATATGTTGGTAATTTGTACAGGGTAATTGGAGAGTCAATTTTTGGTGGAGCTTTCTTGATGGAGTTAGACCAAGGAGTCTTCTATTGTTGCTAAAGATTATGAAGTGGAAAAATTGGGTTACGTGATAATGGCAAGGAGAATGACGATCGAAGTTTAAAGATGTCAAATTATAGAGTTACGTATTATGAGGCTTTGAATTATGTTCAATTTATGAAAATTGATCAAGAAATACTGGCACCTACTAGTAAAAGAGAGAATCGATGGAAATATAAACTTGTGGTGATCAAGAGCTTTAGAGTAAAGGCGAAGATTGTTTGGTTTGACTCGAAATTAGTAGATTAAATTGAGGGACCAGTGATACACAATTGAATCAGGGAATGAAGAAAATAGAAGCAACAGAGTGGTGTTTAGGAAAGTAACTGGATTGGAATTAAGGGATTCAAGTGGAAAAGAAAGCCTATTTATCGGACACCTCACTTTTATTCGTCGACCGTATAATTGTGTTAAGTTTATGATGTTCTGTGACACAATTGTGCATACAATAAGGATGAGGAAGTTGAGTACGTTCAATGATTAACTAAAGGATAAAAAATACTTGAACTGGTGTAACAAAATATGTCTGGGGCAGAGCAAAATGCATTTTCTCTTTTGGAGCTTATATATCTCTAATAGGTGTATAGCGTTATACACTCTTGAATTAACTTGCTGATTCCACAATCCATTTACTAGTATCAACTTGAAAATCTTGAGATAGATTGTAATCATGTCAATTCCATCATGTATAAGTGGGAGATTTCAGTGTAAAACGGGTCATCCATGTAGGCTGTCTCAACCCAAATTCAATGGGAATAGTTTGGAGTGAAAAGTTAAGGGAGTTGATGTTTAAATTTAAAACTTAACCTCGCACAACCTACAACTCCCATATAACTCCTAATCATCCAAAACCATAAGATAAGGAATGCGCATTCAGGTATATAAAAGGCAGTGATAATACATGAGTGTGATGACTTGAATGTGCAAGATTTATATTTCAAAGTTGGTTCTTGGATCGTGGATAACAAACTCCTTCCATTGTAAGCGAGTTTCCGAACAAAAGAGCAGTAAGCAAGCAATAAGGAAGCACCAAAGGAAATTAATTCAACCTCTTGTTTCTTGGGAATTCAAGTAAGTTCTAAGACCCGAAAGTTGGTTAGAAGCATGCTTTTATATAGAAAATAGTGCTTAATATCACTTCTGCTCCATTTCTAGTGTGATGCACAATAATGGCGATACAGTGGTGAAGGAGCTAAAAAGTTTTAAACCAATATTCTTGCTACCAAACATATGTAGTCATGCGACAGTATTCCTCTAGGCAGAAAGAACAAATCTTTTTAATCCTTAATCCATGCTACGAAATCTTTGAAATTCTCGTACGAGCTCCCTCCTTCTCTAACACTATTTTGAATCTTTGTTTTAAGATCCAATACCCTTTCTTTAAATCTTTCGTCGCTCAAAAGTTGTTCCAATTTGTTCTTAATTTCTTCGTGCCTGATGATTCCACTGTCATCTTTGTTAAATTCCAATCCTATCTTCAAATAATCACAAATGTAGCTCCGATTAAAAAGCTGATCCGCGAAATAGGGCCAGCACAAAAAAGTAATTCCATTGCTGATGCCTTCAACAGTAGAATTCCAACCACAATGGCTGATGAAACAGGCAACAGAAGGATGAGACAGTACTTTTTGCTGTGGTGCCCGATGCACTCTTTCGTTGAAACCCATGGCATATGCATTTTTGACGTCTTCAATTATGTTTTCCCGCACAACCCACAAGAATGGCCTGTTGGTGAGTTCAAGGCCAGTTGCCAGTTCCTGGAATTGATTCTGATCAAATATTGTATAACTCCCAAATGCAACATAAATGACGGAATTAGGTTGATGTTGATGAAGCCATGCCAGACATCCTGTTGCAAAAAAAATTCAAATAACAAATCCATCGCCTTGGTTTCCACTTTTAGATAGAGATGGTCTTAATTTCAAGGCTCACAGTCAGATATTATATGAAAATTATGCAACCTTCACTAATTTGAAAAAAAAAAATGAACATTATACTTTTGGACGAGATAATTCGATGTAAACTGAGTCTTCTTTCCAGAAGTTTCCTGCTGATTTTCCAAGCCGATTACTTGACAGAAGAGGGCCTACGGGTATAAATTCTGGAAATGAGGCAATTTCCCAGACTCCAACCAGTTAGATGAGTTGCAAATAATCCTATCTACTGATTTCACTGGCTTTATAATTTGTACCCCAAGTTTGAAGGCGATTTTCGCTGTAAGTTCATTGCTAAAACAGTTCCAACAGAGTTCCTTGGTGTTTATGGCGGGCATATCTGGTGAAAACTGAATCATCTGGTTTTGCATTGGTATTCCTGCATAAAAGAAAAAGTCAACAGTAGTATTATTATAAGAACGTGTTAAAAAACAGGTTCTTCCTGAAATTCCATGCTTGCTATATTAGTCACACAACTTTATACAAGCCACTGCAAAGCGGATTGTCAACTTTATATAGTCACCCGACCTCATATTACTCACTGAAAACATGCAGGTCACTGAGCTTTAGAATGTCAAAAATTAGTCACTGAAATGAATACTACGAGTCCGATCAATGGATTAAAGTTGGCAAACCGCACCTCTACTGAGCCTCTCCCCCTCTCCCTTTCTTCCTCCATTGCTGCCCTACTAGGAGAGCTCTTCAGAAGCATCCCCTTTTTCATAGGGTAGCTAATTGTTCTTTAATGGGAACAAGTCAAATCTGATTTCTATTTGTGGAACTAGAACATAAAAAATTTCTTAAATCTCCTACGCTGAGGAGGAAAATTATTATAGTTATTCTTGTCTTGGAACACAAGTAACTAGAAGAGTAAATGAAAATAAAAAGAACATTCACCATCTTTCATCCGAAAATCTGGAAAAATTTTCACTGCCATCTGCTCCTGTTATCACTGATCAATGTTATTCATTATATATACTTTAAATTATACTCACCATCACTGTCTATAATTCCATCATCAATAAGGTTGGGAATTTTCAACAATAGCGCTAATAGAGTGGCTGCTCGAGGCCAGAAAGCTACTTTCTTGATACCCATTTTCTCTGCAACCTCCAGAGCCCCTCCCACGCTGGCATCGTCAATTAGACAGGTGATTCTATCACTTTCTGAACTGTTGATTAGTGCAATAAGTGCCATTAGCTCACCCGGCATGACAGCAGAAACTGATTCTATCTCTTTTCCAAGATCACTTCTGTCGTCAGATGATTCTAATCCATCTGGGATTGAAACCATTTGTACGATTTCTTGTCTATTGTCTGTCAACGATAATGCTTTGATAACTCTTTCATGAATGAACTGAGTGTTGACGAATGTAACCTTGCAACCATAGTTTACTAAGTGGAGCGCAAGTTCCATACGGGGAATCACGTGGCCCTGTGCCGGATATGGTATAAGCAATACATGAGGGCTTTTCATTGTTCTTCTTTGATTGGTGATAAGAAGTGATTGTTTCTGCTAGCCGTATTGTTTAATGGTGAAAATTATATGGTAGATCAGCTAGAATTTGATACTTGTGCAGAATGTATGCGGTGAGAAAATTTTAGTGTTTATTTTTTATTTATTGTTTTACTCTTTAATTATTTTTTAATTATTTTTTTGTCTTGTCTTCACCAAGCCAATAAACACATGTAAATTGTTCTTAACTATATTTATAAAGGAATATGTTGAACATATATTCTATTTTTCATGTAGAACAAGGACTCGGCCTTAGGTGACCAGTGTGATATGCATAATTAAATATAGAATTATGTAATTCATTTAATTATGCATCTCATTTAATGTCATGTATTTTCATTTAAATTAACATAGTAACAAAAGTAGTGCTAAATAGCATTACTTAGATACACATCATTTTGATTCGAAACAAGGAATATGAATTAGAACTTCAAAGAAGGTAATGACATGTAAATTTGGGCCACTTATTTTATTTTGATTAATTTAATTATTGTCATTAATTGATTAATTTTTAATTTAACTTAATTGATGGAGAACTAATCAATTAGTTAGTTTTGCCAAGCACAGTGCTTAGAAGATAAAAATTATATATATTTATATTAATTTGAGGATTATAAGTCGTGATTATTCTTAAGGTTATGTTGGCTGATGATTAGAAATTCGAAGTTAAGGATGT